GGCCCTCCCCCCCCTCCAGGATTGCATACCCACCGACCACTGACACCGACCGCTAACCGTTTTGCAGCCTACCAGTAGGGTTGACCTGTCGGCAGTCTGCCGACCAGTCTGTATATGGCCATCCAATTTTTTTTTTTCAAATCTGAGTTTGGGGCTGTACTGCGCTTGCTGAGTACAGCCCAAATGCGAGGTACTGGTGGTCCCCTCCCCCCCCTTTTCCAGGGTTGCATACCTGGCGGCTGCTGACACCAACCGCCGACATTTTGCAGGTCAGCGGTCGGCCGACCAGTCTGTAGAGGGCCATTCACTGATTTTTTTTCAAATCTGAGTTCAGTGCTGTACCGCGCTTGCTGAGTACAACCCGAATCCGCTGAGAAACTTTTGGGGATAGGGAGGGGTATGGGAGTATAGAGGGTTAGGGGGGGGTGGGGGGGGGGGGGGGGGGGGGGGGGGGGGGGGGGGGGGGGGGGGGGGGGGGGGGGGGGGGGGGGGGGGGGGGGGAGGAGGGTATGGGGCTGTTGGTGGGGTTTTGGGGGGATATGGACCCCGCAGCAATTTTCTATTTTTTTTTGCGCGGAGCCCACCGGTAGGTGCCATGGAAACTTACCAATGGCTGTTCAAGATTCATTGCAGATAGTTCGATAAACTTCGCTGGCCCATCTTCTTCATCTTCCAAGCAGACCAACAGAGCCATTGGCAAAATGCTCAGAAATGCAGCACGGCCCATTGGCTGGCCCGTTGACTGCTCCATGCCCCCTGTGCGATTGAGAGTGTTCACAAGTGTTCGCAGAGCTGTTACTGATGAATTCAGCAATCCCTGGCAAGACTGCCCCAGCTGCTTTGTCCTGACCTTAATCTGGGTGTTTTCATCTGGAACTGCCAACAGCAAGAGTGGAAGATGTAAACCCTGCACCAAAAAAGTTTTACAACCCACCCTGTCAGTCTCAAAAAAAAAAAAAAAAAAAAGAAGTTTCACTGGATAGCAAGCATGTGCACACACACTCTCACCGACTCACTGACACACACACACAGAGTAGTTTCTCAGACTTATTGCCGTTCTTGTCCCGGGTTGGGAACGACAGTCTGCTAGGATTGCAGGGTTGGTGTGGGTAAAGACGACCACTTTTCTCGGGGGTATTGCTAACTCTGGGCGATGTGGCGAGTCCTTATCTAGCATTCAAATGCATCCTGGGCAGACTGTCGAGGTTCAACTTCCTCTCTCTTTTTTTTGTCTTTTTTGTTTTTTTTTTAAATAAAACTTCATATGTGGGAAAACCCACTTAACGAGGTGATAAGAGCAGCCCGGTTAAGTGGGTCACATCGTCAAAGGCTCCATCTATTGGTGGGGAGCTACACCTGCCGGAAATCGGGTCCAGCGTCCCTGTACAATGATGTGTGTCAGCTGGAAAACGGGTCCAGCGTCCCTGTACAATGATGTGTGTCAGCTGGAAATCGGGTCCAGAGTCCCTACACAATGATGTGTGAGGATGTCATACTGTGCATCCAATACTGTGTGAGTGTGTTTGTAAAATCTGTATACGTTCAACATCCTTACGAGTCATTGAAAGTTCGATGAAACAGTCTGGAAAGTTCAATGCTTCTTTTGTGGACTCGTGTATAGCGAACATGACAAGAGACAGTCTCATAAGATGCAACCATCCCAGCTATTATCTAGAATGAACCTAATGGGAATTGAAAATTGACTGAATTGATGTGAGGCCCGGTGGGATTGAATTCATTGGTTGCTCCCGCTTACTGAAACCGTGAGGATCATAAGTTTCCTTCCTTCTTTGCTCGATTGTGTGCATACTGAGCAACAACCGGCTTGAGCGGGCTACTGTCTTCACCCGAATAGACCGCCCAGTCATTACCGCTGTATCTGGACTGAAAGTCGCCCCAGGTGCCAGCTATAATGACCAGGCATTCTATTTGGGTATCGACGATAGTGGCTTTTTGCATCCTTTTTGCTGGTTGGTTTCTCTGGAACTCCTTTGCCGGTTGGATATGAGTTGTTATGTGGTCACCCGATCTTCACGACGAGTCTCGGGGCGTACTCAAACTGGCTCTATCCTCAATGTATCTGACTGTATTTACTGCCAGACCTGCATGCATCTGACCGCAACCACGTCCACGAATAAGCCAAAAAGTCCAAGTGTGAGTGTGCCCTCAGACAGCGTTTCTTGTGGGTGTGATTTTTGCGGGCTGTCATTTCCGAGCGCAGGGGAGGCCTCAAGGGTCCTTTAAGTAGAAGCACTCCTGGTATCACGGGATGGTTTCATGGCAGAGGCCTGACTTGCGGAGTGTTTATGGATGGTCTTGGAGGGCTTTTATTGCAGTGAGATTCCTGTGTGGAGAGTCTATTGGACTGTTTGCTTAGGGGGTTGTGGAGTGGTATACCCCGTAGAGCTCCTGATGCTGTACAGACCTTCTGTGCATACCAGCTATTTCTTTTGCTAGTGCCGTGGTAGGTGGGGCCCTGCGCAAAGATGACACACATAAATCAAGAAATGGCGCAAAAAAAAAAAAAAGGCGCCGCTTACACGTCAGCAAAGCATGGTAGGACAGTCAGGCCTTCGGTTTCAAATGTTCTTTGTTGGGTGATTTGTTAAGAATGGTCACATACATGGACTGCCCAAAGGCAAGATCCCTCTGGAAAGCCCTAGAATCATCATGGCTTAAAATATCAGACTCTCCCATACTAATTAACCCCGCCACACTATTCCTCAACCTCAACCAATCACCCCCGCTCAAAGGATTCGAAGCCTTCCTCGCCTCCCAAATCAAGAAAAGCACCCTATGGGCCATATGGAAAAACAGATGTGACAACACCTTCGACGACCAACTCACCACCCCCGGAAACCCACTCATCATTATCCAACATTGGACCAACAACTAATAAACACCGAAATCCACGCCCTATGGAAAAAGCAACTCAAGAATTTCCCAACTGACCCAGACAAAAAAATCTAATAATCCAAAAATTCTCCATCTCCAAACTAGGCAATGGGCTACTTGGCACAATTAACAACGACAGACTAATTCTCAAGAAATGGCTAACCATAACGCAGATATAATGCTTCCACAACCCCCCCACCCCACACACAATCATCCAAAATCCACCCTAACATCACTTGCCCACCACCGAACCATCCAAAACCTCTCGCCCCCCATCAGCCCCATTCCTTCCCCCACTGCACCCTCCACACCCTCAAGCGTGTCCCCACACCAACACAATCCCTGACATTCCTCCCGCTCTACCCCCTCCTCCCCTCCCTTCCCACTCCCTCCTTACAATGCCTAGTATACCATAATAAATTCACAATCCCCAAACCGGCCAACCTCCAGAACTCAACAACACCCCCTGCCAAATTCACCCCCACCCTAAGCCAAACCGTCGTCCCCTTCAAGAGACATCTAGATCTCAGATTATACCCCCCAATCTCTTCAAGCTACGATACAAATACGATTCCCGAAGATAAGTTAAAGTCAACAGAAGTACCAAGTCAGGGTTTAGGGTTCTAGCACCAATCACGAGACAAATCCAGGTTCCCAGTAAAACAGCCTAACTTAGGCAGGGGTGAAGGGTGGTACATCTTCCCTCGGGAAGCAATCAATGCCGTCCTTCGGGCCTCCGCACCACAAGGGGGACGAGCGTGAGTGTGTATATCTTGTAATCATTTCCAACTTGCCAGTGGAATAGGAACCGGACTGGCGCTCCCCAGAATGGATAAGGAGCCGGAACCTTAAGGTAAATTTTACCGGGAAAAACAAAAAAGAATGGTCGCAGACATTAACCTGTGACTTTTGCTGTTGGGTGCAGGTTGGCTGTTCTTGTATCTGACCTCCCACCTCCTCCCCCCCCGGGACATTTCGACGATGTGAAGTGTGTCATTACAGCAGATGGGAGTGTGGGCACCTGGCACTCAGTCACATATTTATGGCCAGCTTTGCATCCCCCCCGCCACCCTCCCCCTCTTGTGGCTTCCTGATGGATTTGGATTCCACAGGCATGCACACACGGACGACCATGATCTTGCCCACACACCCACATGCAAACAAACACAAACACACACAGGAGGACAAAAAGAGAGAAATGAAAAGGCACAGCCGCACAGGATGACGGTTGCATCTAGCGGGCTCTAGACCTCCGTACACACTCATACAATGTATCAAATTCAATCAACATATCCAGAGAGCAAATTCTGACCGATACAATAATGTGAGGGGCTACCAAAAAAAAAAAAAAAAAAAAAAAAAGTGAGGGCCCTCTTTCTAGGAACCAAAAAGGAATAAAAAGAAAAGACACAAAAGAGAAGCACTCGGCAGATTGTTGGACTCCATACAAGTTTGACAGCCAGATAGAATAATATGAGGGGCTACCCCCTTCCTAAGAAACAAAAGAGAAGAAGAAAAAAGAAAACATCACATTTGGCATGTTCTTGGACTTCTTACAATTTTGACCGCCTCAAAGCAGAACTTTTCGTCGCCAGCAAAATGATTGAGACAGTTCAAAGCCGCCATCTCAACAGCAAGACCATCTGGGTTATCGTCTGGTGACGCCATGTCAGTTGCTGCACGGCTCAATACCCACCACAAGATTTTATGCCATCGGGGGTCATCACCAAGCTGTTGTCGTCCCTCCCTGCAAGCAGATCATCGAGTGTCCATATCCGAACAATGCATGCCTGTCAGACAAGACTTCCACAGATTCTATAAATAGACAAAAACTTGAAAAACAGTAATGAATCGGTTGTGCCGAAATGTAGCACATTTGTCCCACGTTACATGTAAAAAAAAGGGGTCTTTTTTACTCTTTTTTTTTTTTTTTTTTTTTTTTTTTTTTCTGGCGGGCAACAGTGCGGTTGCTTATCACTGGCGAGCATGTTTTTAGAACCAAAGAAGAGGAGGAGAAAAGAGGAGAAAGGGGGTTAGCCTATCCCTTGTGGCACTAGTCGCCTGGCAAGGGGGTATGTGTATCTGAGTTGTTTTTTTTGTTTTTTTTTTCTGGTATTTGCTGAATTTTGCTCAAGTTTACTGGATAATATGGCTATTTGATACTGTTTTATGTTCATTTGTGCTGGTCTTGTAGTATGTAAAATAATGGGCCTCGCTTCACTACTCAACATTCTACTATGCGGATCTACATTCATTTGGACACTTTCTGGACCAGGTGCATTCTCACGAGTCCAACATTTTTAATGTATCAGGACAATTACGGGCCCCTGATACATATAGAGTGTGAGGCCCAGTGTGTGATATGATTCACAAACAGATTCTGATACTGGATGGTTATCACCCACAACACTCAACCGCAAACCCTAACCCATAGCTTTGACATACACATGTTACACAACACGATGTAGAAGCACACTGATGATGACTCAAGCAATAAAAAACATGCATACAGTAGTAGTCAAAGGCTACCCCGACATGTTTTGGCCACCACCCACATGGCCCTCTTCAGGGGGCTTCATAGCCGACATGTTTGGGCTATCCGGACATGTTTGGGCGACAGCCCACTGACATGCTTCGGCTATCTGGACATGTTTGGGCCACAGGCCAAATGGCCCTTACTTGTAGCTGTGGCATACAAATGTCACACAGTACAAATACAAATAATGACCATGGCTGGGTAGCATCCATTACACACGAAACAAGTACAGCTGTGCCGCTACGCCCGCACGGATGGAAAAAAAGAAATATCAATGCCATATCAGGGGTCTAAATGTATAATCTCTCTCTCTCTCTCTCTCTCTCTCTCTCTCTCTCTCTCTCTCTCTCTCTCTCTCTCT